CTAGTAACTTTATTATAGGGTGGGTATAATTTATGCAACTACAACAAGCATAAATGACAATACTATACAGGACACTGCATTAGATATGTATCTGCGTCACATTTCACCATCTAATCTCTCAAACAGGACTAGCTGTTTTTAAAGTAATCTATAACTATGTATCATACCATTATTGAAAGAACCAAACGCTTAAAAAAGAACACTTTTTTTGCATAGTTTCTTTCAATAGCATTCAAGTGGCTAATGGAATGTCTTCAAATCATTTTCTAGTTATGCTCAGTATCCTCAGTTCTCTAACTACACTTAGCTACAAGCTGATTTACTATTTTTCTCGGTAACTAGGCTCAGCTTTTTGGCAATTAAGCTTCTAAGAAGTTCAATCTATAATACATAGGAAAAATCCAACAAAAACGTAGGAAATAAAATATCAATTTGTACTATAAGGTGTAACATGTAAGCACTAAGAAGGGTTCCACTTCCTCACCTGTTGATACACTAGAATTAACGAAGAACTGGGGGATCAAATATATACATTTAGAAATAGTGTAATGAAATAAAGCTAAAGCAGAGCTGCTTCTGATTAATCCCAAAGAGTACAAGCCAAGGACATCTAGAAAAAAAGAATCAGTATTCACAATACAAAGATTTATTCATGTATTTAACTTTGTGCACTAAAAACTGAAACAATGCACAATATTTTAAATTATAAACGCTCTGAAAAAAAAAAGAAATGTTTTAACACTTTTCACTTCCATACATATCAACTGCCATGTCTCGTAAAGCCCGATTCCCTTTCCCTGAGCCAATCTAAGCTTAGTACCATTCATTTGTTAAATTGGCAACCAATGACAATTTCTAGCTCTGGTTCCACCAAGTGTCATTCATACACACAACCATGAAACAACACTTCAGCACTAAATACTCACTTTACATGTGGACATTTTTATTTATAAGCTAAAGTACAAGTCAACATAAATTACTAGATAAGTACATTTTTAAAATACCATTAAAAATTCAGTCTGTTTGCTTCAAGTACAGCAATCTTTGATCCCAAGTTAAATTCTCTCACAGAAGAGCATCATACAGCATTTTCAGATGTTTCGATTCAGACACAACCTTGCTCTCATTCCACAAATCCTGATGGGAACTGCTACCCCCCACACTCCAAAAAGCTAATCAATAACCAAGCATTTTAATCCTTCTTTGTCCTAATACCACATTACTGAAGCAGATTAGGTTTTTCTAATTTATTCACACTTAACATTTAAATTAGTGCATACCTAGCTGGAATAGTAGCATTGAAATGAACGTATAACTTAAAGATCAAATTCTGTCTTGAACAGATTTACATAAAAGGACAGAAAGAATAACATTTGTCTACCAGCATGTTATGTGGATCTCCTTAACTCAATTTACTATGGATTTCACAGTGCAAAAATTAATGCCCTCCAGTAGCTGAATTCATTACAAATTATTTCTTCCAAACCCACAGTGTAATCCCAATGCTGCTGTGACTGATGGAAGTTTTGCAGTTCACTTAAAGGCAAGTTGGTTTACGACTATAGCAAGTGGTACTAAGCAAAATGATACCATAGATGCTGTCTTGATTTCTTTCTAATAAGTAAAACATACTATGAACCAGTCTCACATATTTTATTCCCAGCTAAAACTAAGAGCAACATATTGATGATAATTTTAACTACACATACAGTTGCCAACAGAATTATATGCCTTTTTCAACTTTAATTTCTAGAATACATTTCAGCAACAATAATGGGAAACAGCCTGTAGAGTTGTTCACAGACCCTACTCAGCCCTTCGTCCCCTTCCCTATTCCAGAATCCACAGAAGCATCCCTGTGAGCCATCTGATGCACGTGTATCACACTGAACTCATAACACATGTACAAATAGCCTCCCACTAGACACCTGACCCAAAAAACTCCTTTTATATGCCTGTAAGAAAAAAGCACTGGTAAAGAAAACAAAACAACAAAAAAAAGAAACTGTGTACGTATTCTGGTTGCCTACATAAAGTTGACCTTAGGTCACAGGTGCCACAACTCTAGCTTTCAAAATAATTAACTGAACCACTGAGTTTTAATTCCTCTGAAAAGCATGAAATAAATCTGACATCTTTGAGAAGGCTCAGCCAAGTGTACTGGTGCACAGCAAATACAACAAGCTGTTTTCACATACAGAAGAAACCCATAAATGACACATACTGTGTTACAATAGCTATTCACTGGCATTCAGTTTAAGTGGCTATGTCTATTACTTGTACTTGGGACAGATAAGCAACGTCTGTTTCGTATTTTACACAAAAAGGCTCAAAAAATTCCATTATTTGAGAGAATTTTAACTAGCACATATGAACATTTCAAAAAAATATTATTTGATTCACTGATCCTATGAAAACCAAAAATCAAACCCAGCAATATTTCATACGTATTATATTTTTTGAAAATACGTTATAATATTATTTAATATACCTAAGGCCACCACTCTGCAGAAGCTGCCATTTTCCAATTTCACCTTGTTTTGACCTGTCCTAAACAGGCAAAAGTCCACATCACAGATCACCAAGGAAAACAGAAGCCTGCTCTTATGGTTTCTGTACCATGGCTCATGAGGCTACCAGGGTCCATGCCACCCATCCTATCACTTAAAAAAACCCAACAGTCAGTGGCTCAAAGCAGCAGAGGTTCATCTTAATAAATAAGCATACACACTGCTTCTTTCCATAGCTGTATCTGTTCTGCAAATAAGGGTTCAATACTGTTTCTGTAACAGAAACCCCTTCAAAACTGTTTTCCTTTAAAAGGAAAAGGCAGAAGCCAGCAATTGTACTTTCAGAAATATCTGCCAGTTGCAACATTACCCTGTAGTTAAACCCCTTAACAGACTGCAGCCCAGAAGGGTTGTTTGTTTGTTTTAAAAGTAAGTTTCAAAACACCTATTGCTCATATAGGATAACAGGTGTAAAAGTGAAAAGAAGCCCCTGTATATACTTGGGAGATCTGCACTAAAGTGAACATCGTCAGATCAGTAACTCAAAGTTTAAAAACCACTTCCCTATCTGCATGCTGCCACTAACATGCAGCATCTGGTCTGCCACTTATCTGACAGCCTGAAAATTTTAAAAGGAGGTAGCAAAAAGATTAGGATATATTAGGATATCTCTCTAGTTCACATGACTGATTTTACACTAAAGAGATCGATAGGCAGTACCCTCTCCCCCTTCAGCTCACATGTGCCTCCTTGCTTTCAGTTCTAGTGAAATGATTCTTGCCACAGAGAATTACCAAACCCATATTTTCCTTCCTCCCATAACTCCTTCCAGCAAGCTCTGAAAACTTCCGTACATTTTTACTAACCTAGGCATCCACAAAAAAGTAAAAACCTCACAAATTGCAAAACGGTAGATCTGGGCCACAGGGCATCAGCACAGTACTCATGTTTCTGCCAGGAATACAGTGTGTCAGGTTTGTCTTGTGGCAAGAGAAATAGTAAGCCTGATAAATGTTTCATTTCTTACTGGTCAAGAAAGAGATTAAGACCATAATAGTGCATTTCTAATTTAACATCATGTAGAATGACTTCTAACAAGCAAGGAGATAGAATAACACAATGCAAAGAACAAAAGTAGCATTTCCCTCTCCAAAAGGGGCAAAGAAATAATCAAAAGGGAAATGAAGTGCATTCAGAAACAAAACAAAAAGGCAAGAAGTCTAACTAGTTATCACTTCAAAACCGGGGAGCAGATTTTTAAAATTTCATTTGTTACCCACTACTTGACAGAGTAGTCCCCATTACAAACTGTGATGGGAATCAAGCTCTAAAGAACTTGCAATATTGCTATATAGAAACCTGTAATAACTACAAACAGGGTATATACCAATGCCTACAACAAGGAGTAATTTACTATATCTAAGTATATAAACTTCCTGATCTACTAATTTGGTTTGAGCCTTATCAGTCTAGTTATTTAGAAGAAAACTAGACAAAACATCTAATACTAGTGAAGAAATGGCTAGTAGGGAAAATTAATATCCTGCTACAGAATGTCCTCTCCACAGGCAGATCTACCAAGAGTCCTAGGACCGCTATAATCTCTCTCTGTGATAGCACTGTCCCTCCTAGTGATCAGATACAGCAATGACTGCATGGCTTCACAACCCCACCTCCTTCCCCCCCCCCAAACTTGCAGCAGCAGCTGTCCCTACTTTCTCAAATCGCCTACATAATTTACGTCCCAGTCCCTCCTTCCACTTTCTGTGCTGCAACCAGAACTCCAGTAACTTCTCCTTAGGCAAGACAAGTTTATCACTTCCCAGAGCCTGAAATCAGTGCCAAACCTTATAGCTGTAACAGGCAGAAGAGCTCATAGCTGCGATGCCAACAGCACCTTGCTGGTATATTCAGCTCAGTCTCACGCATCTCATACAGCTGAACAAACTCATCACAAATTAGTACACGTTGCATACGTAAAAGCAAACTAAAAAACAAAACCAAAACTACCACATAACACAGCATGTTTACTTTAACTGTTATGGCTTAGTTTTAATTCTTATTAAACTTCTCAAGATATTAAAGTTAGTGCCACAATATATTTAAATAAGCAAATAATCCAAAGTAGGTGGTTTAGGTTGAACCAAAGTTGTATATTCCCAGAGCAAAACTGGCTAAGAGTAGATGCTCAAGGACAGGTACAAGAACAACACTGTTTCCTACACTGTAATACCAACAACACTGTAATACCTACAGGCCCCACAACCTCCAGAGACTACAGCTCTGAGATCTGCTGAGCCAGAAGTACATCTCTGTGGTTAACAGATTTTTCTTCCAAAACTAATGCACTGCAATTTCAGACCATTCTAACAGTAGTTAGAACTTCCTGAAATATTAAAAAGGACACAAGGCTGCTGCAGGGCACTCTCAATTCCCAAGCTCAGATTGAGGAAACTCCTACAGCACCCAGCTCCAACCACCTCAAGTTACACGCAGGCTCAGTTCCACGGGCACATGTAGGAGGGTGTGCTGTCTGGGAGACACCAGGCTGCTGCGTACGCATACGGAACGTTGCTCCTCCAAACTGCTCACACCGAGAGGCCATAGTCTATTTCCACAAACGAAACACCGTCAAGAAAACAGATAGGTGTGAAACTTACTTGCATTAGAAGCTGAGGTACACAATCCAATGGGATTTCCCAGGCATCTTTTTTGAAAGTCATGAATGTGAAAGATTACAAACTTTATTTTGGTGGGGCTTCCTCTCTTGTTTTTGTGTGTGTGCGTACCTTCCACAGTTTGATCACACCTACTACTGAACCTGAACACATCCTAAACACCTAACACCAACCTCCTGAACTTGTTCGGGAAGGGTTTCGCGCACGATTCCCCAAGCCACCTTCCCAGCGCTGCCCTTCCCTCCCGGGAGGCGGCAGCCTGTCCGTC